ATCAGCTGATGTTGAAAATGTAACCTGACTCCATCTCCCTTGGGCCCTCAGAAGTGGCTGAGCCATGTAGAAATTTGGGAGCTCAGCAATTCTTCCAGTACATCTTTGACCCACTGCTGACCACTGTTATGTGCTGTGAGATTCTTTTTCTTCCACTGCTGATGCTACTGCCTCATCTGACAGGTATTCAGGTTTCCAATCCCTATTGCTTCTCCAGAACTACAATGTTACTAAATTTTCCCCTACCTGAGTTTATCAAATTACTCAAAATCCTTGTGATTTTTACAAAGTTCACACTTTGTTAATATCATGCTGTGCTGGTGGGTTACAAATTATTTCCTGAATCTCTTGATGCATTTTATCTGTGGAAGCTTTCTTCTCCTGTGGCTAGGCTGGACAGTATCCCTTTCAGATTTTTCCCTAAACCTTTCTGAAAGGGAGAAGAAAGGCATCCTCCTTCAGCTGGTGATGGGTCATTCCTAAGTGCAGTTTCTGATCCATAACAGAGAAGGTTACTGCCATTCATGGTACATTTTTCTACAAAACTTCCTCTCCTAAATTTAGGCTTTCTTCCACAATATCTATTTTCATTAGTGAAAATTCCCTTTGTTTTTACTTGAAAATACTTGCTTATACACACAACTGTATTAAAGCTCTTCAAAATTTCAGAGGGATATGATTATTTTGAATAAAATAGGAAACTAAATGTGATTAAACTTTCTAGAAGATCTCTTAGTCTAAATACTTTCTTTCAGAGGAAAATAGTTTTTTGTAAACAAAGAACTTTAGGATTCATCTGTCTCCTCTTAAATTCATCAAGGATTGTTCTGAGTATGTGCCTGCTATGATTTTATAATAATGTGCTTTTGCTGTAATGACAAAAGGGAATACATTGCCTTGAGAAGCACTTTGAGGTAAACATTTGAAGAGCTTATATTTCAGTTTTGAAAGTTTGTATTTTTCCCTTCAGTAATGTAAGAAGATGGCCTCTGATGAGGGCTCTTTAGGGAGCTATCAAACAAACAAATGAATAACGAACATAGAAAAAGCCAAAGTTTGCATATAATCAAACTCGGTGACCCTCAGTTTATTACAACACTGGCAAAGTGCATTCAGGAAGGTGGATGACTAATGAAAGTGTAAATTACAGAAGGACCTGGAGGGGGCACAATTAGCTAAAAAATGAAAGTAGTGACTCTCCAGTGTTCTCACAGTTAAGGAAAATATATTTTTCCCCCTTGTTTTGAATCAAGTGAGTACTACTGAAGCCCTCACTCCAAGCTGTACTTAAAACTATACTAAGATATTTCTTAGCACAGTATAATACTCAGTTTAATTTATATATTTAATTGCTTCATAAGAATTGCCATTTCTTTTTTTCATATTACAATAATGATATTTCTACACATTGTCTTGCTGGAAAATCAATTAAGGTGAGAATTTTGAAAATAAATGTGCAACTCTGTTTTAATTTTAAAATGTTTGGCTAAAGCCTGTGAAGAGTTCCTAGCATTTGTTTATTCCTCCCCCCCTGCTTTACACTTCTGGGTGACTGCTATCACAAGTGTTGATATTTCTCACGTCTAATACTTCACCTTGCAATTCTGACATTCTTTCATCCAGTCAGGAATTTAATTAGTTACTTTTTTTACCTTTCCCAGTCTGGAT